CCCAGCCCGGGCGCGCCCCGTGCCCCTCCAGGAGCGTTAACCGCTCCCTGCTGTAAGCCCGAAGCAGACCCTCCCGCCCCGGGTCCAACGGCTCTTACACACCCCCGGGGATGGGGACTCCGCCGCCTCCCTGGGCAGCATTCCAGTGCCTGAACACCCTCACAGGGACAAAATTCCTTCGAACGTCTCCTCTGACTCTGCCCTGGCTCAGGCCGTTCCCTCTGGTCCTCTCCCTGCAGCCGTGGCAGGAGAGACATCCCCACCTGTCTCCAGCCCTAGAGAGAGCCACGAGGTCACCCCTGAGCCTCTGCCCAAGGCTGAACAAACCCGACCCGAAACTGCTGTTGCCTTTACAGGCGACGCACTTGGTCTGGTTTTGTGTGGAGCCACAAAGAGGAAAGCCACTTGTGGCTGGTGTGCCGGTCAGACCCTCTTAACCACAAACTCTTTGGTTTGCAGCTGCTCTGATGACCCAGACAGGCTGGTGGAGGTGAGAGGGGCTCTCAGGCACCAGCACTGCACATCCCACGTGGAGACAAGAAGTCCAACTGGCCTTTTTCTTTCCTAGTGTTTCACAGCATGAATTTTGCCCTCTGTGGCTTCTGGTGGAGCTTCCTGGCGTGGGTGCCGGGACAGCTGAGCACCCTGTGTGTGTGAGAGGAGGGGGCTGATGGCCACGCAGAGGCTACACAGCAGCACAGCGTGCTTAGAGCTGCTTTAGCTCCTGTGTCATCCAATCTTAGATGTGCTTTAGCAGCAGGAGTGGCAGAGCAGAAGGGAGGGAGAAGCCTGGGCAGCTCCCGGCTGTGTGCCCCCCAGGCACTGATGGGGGTTGTGTCTCCTGCTGCCTCCTCACTGAGGATATGGAAATGCTCTTTAATAGAGATATTTATATCTGTTCTATCTTGACAATAATTGCACGATGTGTAGATTCACACTGCTCAGTGCCTTTATTCTCTGCTATGTTTGCTGGCTCAGTAACTCCTGAACAATTCCATGCCTAATGAAAGATCTCACTCGTTGTGTTAGGCACTCTACTCCCTCCCAGCTGGACCTCAGTCCCCGGGCATTTCTCCTCCAGCTCAAGGAGCTGCTGATGGAAAGGGATTCAGTTGCGCTGCTGGAGGCACTGGTGGGTGTGTCTGATCCCAAAGATCCTCCTCCACGAGAGCTGGAAAAGTGCTGCTGCCTCTCCCCTGGAGTAGGGATGGTTGCCTACCTAATATGCTAATTTAGGGAGTTGTTATGCTCAGTGCTACTGACTCTGCTCTGTTTTAATTAATGTCCCAGCTAGGAAAGCTTCAAAATGAATTCATTTGGTTATGCAGACCAGGTGCTTCCCTTAATGAATGGTTTCAAACCAACAGCACCTGGTTTACTCCCTCAGACCACAGCCCTGATGGTTTTTTTCCCCCACTTTGCTGTGTTATGATTTTTGTCTTTCTAACCAGATTCTTTTCCATCTGTTCCCTTCCCCCAGATGAAATGGATCCACAGAGGTTAATCCAATGTCCATTTGACAAGCATCATCAGATCAGAGCCTACCGGTTCCCCTATCATCTGGTGAAGTGTCGGAAGGTAAAAGCAGTGACTGAGAGAGATTCTGTGCATGTAACCATGCTCTGTGTGCTCTCATTCTGCTGTACTGCTTGACAAACAGCCTTGTTTAGCCTCTGTTTCATAGGATTATAACAAGAAGATGATGTGGAGTCAATTTTTGCTCTGTCTTTGCTGCTCTGACCTCATCACTCTATTAAGTCAAATTGTAAATGCAATCATTCCGAACCATGTCTCATCACACTTCTGATGTCCCTAACATCAGAAGGACATGGAACTGTTGGAGGAAGTCCAGAGGAGGCCACAAAGCCGCTCAGAGCACTGAAGCACCTGCCCTACGAGGACAGGCTGAGAGAGCTGGGGCTGCTCAGCCTGGAAAAGGTTGTGTGGAGACCTCAGAGCACCTTCCAGGAGCTGAAGGGGTTCCAGGGAAGCT